ATTTTGGATTTAGTTTTCTCTGATCAAAGGCTTAGAATGCAGTGCACTTTGGGCGCACTCGTAATTCAAACGCCAGACGTAGTTCTGGTACCCCACCCGGAGCATGTGCCCTCAAAACTGGGAAAATCAACAGTTATAAAATCTATTAGTGTTAAGTACCACTGCTCTTCAGAGATCCAAACAACGTTGATGCAGGGCACTTTGGAGTGGAGCACACAAAATGGCGAACTTTCCCGAGCAAATTGAAAGTGTGGGTCCTTTTACTAGAGGGTAAGAGACTCCAACTACTAAACCCGTTTGACTGTTATTTGAACCCGCTCCCACTGGCTCTTCAGTCGCGGATCGCCTTACTGATTGAATTATTACGAAAATACCTTGTGACAATCATTGTGCTAAGGGAATGTTCTGACAGCCTCTCAAGGTTACAACTGGGACAGAAATGAGTAGAATGGAAGAAAGCGATAATGAAAGCAGTGAATGAAAAATGAAAGGAACAGAGATAATCAATAAAATGGAGCTTCGCAGAAACGATCAAAGCGTGGTCCCTCGTAGATCCCGTCGCAGCGGCCGTGGTCCGTCGTAGATCACGAAACCCGATTATTGCTGTGAGGCTTTTGATCACAGTTCTATTATAACATATTAAGTACAAAACGAAAGCTGGTTTTTGGTTCACTAAACTCTCATTTCAATACGAATAAAAAAAAACAAAACGGATAATGGACCGTTGCTATGAAGAGTACAAGGAAAATTTGACTCGAAGGTGAAGCTCAGCAAGTGTACAGTTTCACTCTAAGCGGAGGTGGGGTACAGGAATGTGGTACGGTCTCCACGCGCGTGCCGGGCGGTCAAATACCGGATCGGAAGGCCACTTAGCCTTCAGCACTCCGACGACGGTATGGTACCACTTTCGTCTGGGAGGATAGGAGCACTGACCTATCATCGGCTGGCCCCCGCATGCCCTTGTAATGGCAACGGTGCATTTAAAGGCAAAAGGGCGCAATAAATTCTCAAGATATGAAGGACTAATACGTCTAGCAGGACAAAATTCTGCGCTCCTGAGCAGGCGCTGCCTGGCGCCTCTCCCAAGGAAGGTGCCCTTATACCGCCCTATCAGGCTGTAACATAACGACGCCCAGCGCGCCTGCCCGCCAACATATGGACGACTGGTACTGAGCCTCTTGCCCAGGTAGAACATCTCGACTCCTAATTCCGTCTGGCTTTTGTGTTTGAAATCTCTCCCGGTGGGGTACCAGAACTACGTCTGGCGTTTGAATTACGAGTGCGCCCAAAGTGCACTGCATTCTAAGCCTTTAATCGGAGAAAACTAAATCCAAAATGTCCTCTATCGACACAATTACTGGCTCAAATTCTCCACCTGCACTTTGCACGCTGGTGTTTCTCGTTGGATTCTCGATATCCTCTTCAGTGTCCTTTTACAGGGACACTGAACTAAGGATGAATAACTCGGCATGCCTTACTTTCAGCACTTACTATGATGGGAAATCATATGGGTCAAGATCTGATGGGCGAGATAGCCATCCTTCGGAGTAGCTCTGTTCGTGCAGTTCGGTACCACACTTGGGCAGCATGCGTTCATACTCCGCGATGACGCTCGTCAATACCATTTGTGAATAGGCAGCGCTTACCCTCCTGTTATCGTACACTCATTGGAAACACTAGCGCTCAACGCCGATCGATAGCCGCATAGGGGTTCCGTTCCTCGTCGATATTTTTTTCAGCGATACTGCAATGGCAGTGCGTCAGCGCGCGTCATCGCTAGGTCTGAACGCTGCTCAAGAAGGGCTTGGCTCTCTGGGTAATATTCTTTCCTGTTGGATGCTCCATGGTTTGTTTTCAGATTGGGACTCGTATCGTGTCTTTGGTGCGTAGTTGCTGTTCTTTCGAAGACACTCGACGACGGGTTTGACGAAGTCCAACGGCATCCGGTTGTTCGCCACCACTGAAAGAATGTTTCATCAGGAAAATGAATGGTGAGGTGAGTGTGTCCAATAATATGGGTCAGTAGCATTTTTCCCTTCGCTAACTATTAGTATCGAATGCCTGATTTTTGTTCACATGCCACTCCTGCGCCAGTGGTTACGAACCGTCAGAGAATGAACCATTTTAATCATTCTTCTCGTAAGAACTGTCATCTTTTCTCCTCTTCGAAGCCTTTCCCAAATGGCACATTTTCTTATATCGTTGCATGGCCCTCTGCTCAACCCTCATAGGTACTACAAGAGATTCAGCGGTGTTTTTCGCTGCGCAGCTTTTGAAAAATTGTTTTATATGCTTGAACTGTTGCAAATCTTAAAAAGAGGTGATTTCTGCCAATACGTCAACCGGGTGAAGCTGTAATCGTCACGACTACTTAAGGCGCTACACAACAAGGATGTCCTTCGACTGATGGTGGGATTAATATAGTCCGACTTCTTCTCCGTGAAGCACATGTACGATCTTCTCTGTAGTCCTCGTAACGCCCTTTGTTCCGATTCGCGATGGTCTTAGAATGCTGCATCTGGGTTGAAATGACAGTGTTTCCTGAGCAGGCCTACTACAGTTTCTGGACTTTTGAGCTTCAGCTCCATTTTCAAACGTTGTCATAGCCTATGCAAATGTTGAGTTCGTTCTCGGGTCATATTTAGGTAACGGAGTTGTATGGTCCTCTAAAGGTTACTGATAGACATCAGTGAGCATGTCGATCATCATGACCCAAAAAGCTTGAAAAAATATTTTGGTCGAAACTTATGCGGAAAAGATTGCCCCAATCAAAGGCCCGAAAGTGAATTTTACCGCCGAGCTCAGGTCCATTGGCGCCAGCTTTGCTCTGAATAACCTCTGCGTGCGGGAGGGGATGCTGCTGGAGCTATTGAAAAAAATACTTAAATGCTCCCTCACTTCGGGCCAAGTGATGTGCGCAAACTATGCGATGCAGACCTACATAAGATTACAACTATTGGGTTGGCCCATAAGTAATGGCGTTTTTCCCACTCGAAATATCGCGCTGTAGAAGAAAAGTTTTGCCATTAATTTTGATACCATTTTGCAGAGAGTTGCCCTACACGACAGTATTCCTAGTTCTCTTCAAGTTTCTTTATTCCAATAGTATTTTAGTGATAAAAATGGAGTGTCAGGTCGACGAAATTGAGCATTTTCGACAGCCTCTCTCTTTATGTCTCTAATTGAAAAGCTAAAACCGCATGAGCCTAGCTATAAGTATATGGCTGGAAGGCTATGTCTCTTAAGAACACCAATAATACTTTAAGTGATTCGAAGATTTCAGTTTCGACCTCACAGACAAGCATCGAACCTAATGCCCTATTCCCCTATTCTATCCAACTGAGAACTTACGGAATTACCTTATTAACGAAAATCATGCCAAAGATGGAGGATCGTTAGAGGTCATAGAATGCCTCCTTATCATCATCAGCCACCACCCTTAGTTGATGTTAGACATTCAAAAGTAAATGGGTGGGATCTGCAGGCAGTCCCTCCCCAAAAGGACCCACACTGCGCGTGCTCTTTTACAATGTCAGAATCCCCACCTCGTGACCGCTTGAACCAACTTCAAGCTGTCATAAGACGCATCTTTCTTGGTCATATACACCACAAGGTTTGAGCTTCTTCTGTAGATTCTGAGCCGAGATACAATTCAAAAAGTTGTTGTCAACTCACTTTTCTGTCGACCCGAATTTTCCTTTTGATGAAAATAAAAATCGGCGGAAATCATGAAACAGTAGGGAGTGAACAGCTCTGTCCCATAGAGCGGGAAGTCATCTATCAGTGTAGAACATATTGGGAACAGTTGTCGTTCCTCATATAAAAACTTTGTAACAAAAAACGCCATTACTTATGGGTCAACCCAATAGAATAGGACCCGACAGTGTGGCCTGAATAGTTTTTTTTAGCAAATTTTCTCAATCCTTTCCCGGCATTACTAGAAACGCGTAGCGAGAATGAAACTTGTTGTAGTGATCCATTTATGAAGCCCCTACAGCATGCAACAAACCGTTTTTGAAAAGCGCCCCACCGCCTGGATACTTTCCTGGTGACACTATTTAACTGCAACCTCTCCTCAATACAATCCATTAGCCGTGGGAGCCTGAAATGTCCTTTCAACTCGCTCTCTTATGCGGAATGTGAGCGGTTTCTTGGTGTGAAATCAGCAGATCCAGAAAACTGGTCCAGTATAGGGGCCTCCTTTGGGTTTCGGCCACTTATTCTGCTTTCCGTCACTGCCCATCCCTATTTCCAGTTTTCAACTTCATTATGAGTGACTGGCAATCGCAGGGCAACTGTCTTTAGACGTTTTCTTCGTCACTCAAAAGATATGCGCTGTGGTCAGGAAACATGAACGCAGAGGGTGTTGAATGCTGATGAAACATGTTTTAATGTTTTCTCCTTCGTCTGCAAGAACGTGACAGATGTGACGGATGCCAGTCATTGTGCCGAATCGATTGCAAAATGATAACAGTGAATGCCGCATTCGGACGAACAAATGTCC